CTCGTGCGGTGTTGCAGCATTCTCGCCCGTGCTGCATTCTTCTCCTCTACTAACAGTTTGCATTCGCCGTCAAACAAGTCATTTCTTCGGTCCGGGATTGCAGTAAGGGAGAACAGCCCATAATGCACCCCTGGGGTAAAATGCCCACTTATTGAAAAACATCGATAACTTTTCCTCAGATGCGTTTTCCGGGTAACGGTTTGTGATTGTTTTCAACTGGAGGTTTCACAAATAATTCTTGATCATAAAATCATATATTGACCTATTGATTCCTTTAAAAAAATAGCATTTTGTGCAAAACAGGACACAGTTGTAAAAATCATCGACTAAAAATTAAGCTTTTAACATCATATATCACAAAAAAATTAACGAATTTACTTTTCGTATATTTTTTAGATATTTTACTTGATGAATCACAGTTTAACATTCTATTGAGATTTTGAGACCTTATTTCTGATGTAACATAAAGAAATAATCATTTGAAATACCGCATCCCTTTGCATTATCTACTTGCAGGGGTTATGGTTTGTTTACCATGGGGTGCATTTTACCCCAATGTTGTGGTGCGTTTTGGCCATTGTTGTCGTGCGTCTTGTCCCAATGTTGTGGTGCATATTGCATCATGAATCAGGCGTTTTGCCCCGCTATCATTTTGGAAACAATTTATAAAATACCTTGAAAGTCATGGATAATCATCCTTTTGTAGTTCTAAATCACTCGATCTTCGTAGAAAACATGGTAATAAACCAAACGCCATTACTTTTTTCTTGATTTTAGCTTCCATTCGCCAGCAATTGACGATTTTGCTTAAACTGTGCGTTTTGCACCATCCTACCCTACCTAGTGCCGCTGCAGCAGTACTACCTATGGCGGAACGGATATCCCTCCAGCCATCTTCAAGAGAAGCTGCGCCAAGCTGCTTTTCCGTGGGTAGTGAAACTTCCAGCTGCTGCGCGTAGTTCTGGGCAGCTCCGGCGTCCTGTAGTTGCTCAATGTTGGGTCGCGGCGTTCGACTTCGACGGGTGTTATGCAACATAGAGAACAGACGCCGTTTTAAGCCGCACCTGCCCACTGTGTAAATTTTTCTAATGCATTAGGAAGGTTAAGGCAGATTACAATAGTAAGATGAGTTCCAGGAGAGCTTCATAAATAAGAGATGTGACTAGAAATCCAAACTAATTTTGAGGAAAATTTGAAGGAATTTGTGAGGAGAACTGCAAGTGAATTCTAAGTGAATGCCGAGGTAGTTGTAAGTGGAATTAAAAGGGAAGAAGAAGGATCCAAAGGAAATTTTAAAAATATCACTTAATATAGGCTATAGTGTGAACGAGTTTTTCTTTTTTTTCTTTATTAGAGAGATTTTTAGCCTAAGGCTAGTTCATCTCTTTGAACGAGGTATTGCACCTACTGATTATTCGTAAATATTATGTCTTGTTTGGTCAAAAACGATTTTGCAAACATTTTTTTTAAATTCCCTAGAACTTCAAATTTTTATCGCAGTATTTAAAAAAAAATCTTCTGGCGTCTCTGCTCCCGAACCTTCCACGCATACTTTCTTTCAATCAAATCCACAGCTGCACGACAGTTAGATACCGTAAAACGGGGTAACATTGATAGTTTTTTAAAGTATATTCTAATTAATATTTACAGCAATGAATGTTTTTCATATTTTATATTTTTAAAACAAGTACTGAGGATCCAAGAGTCAGTTCGTCAGTAATATGTTTAAAGGAAGTTAAAGCATTTGTACTATGTTTTTTAGTTTCGTGACCGAACTTCAGTTTTTTGATTTGAGGTTACTTTGATAATACTTGATGAATGTAGAAAAATATGGTTGAAACTCAAACAATTTAGTTCTTTGAATATGAAACTTTGAATGAATATATAATCAGAAAACATCATAAGCAATAAGAATACCATATTGAATTTGTGATGGCTATATCGGAAATACATTTCATAAGTGATGGTTTGAGTGCTTTTTTAAATTGGCGAAAAGCACGAATATTGTTTTTTAATATGTTTGTAAAATATGTAACACATACTATATAAAAACTTTATACAATATCAACGGAAATACCCTTATCTACAATATGGAACCAATGTTTCTAATTTGGAAAAAGTGCAACGAGTAAATTTAATCTTTACATTATACTATCAAAGTTACCCGCATTATCAAAGATACCCCGTTTTACGGTACGATAAACCATCTTCCATATCATTTTTTTTCTCTTTGCTTTGTCGTCGGTCATTCACTCTAATAATTCATCTCACTCCATGAACATACGCGTTGCTAAAGGGTGATACGGTCAAAATTTGGTCAAGGGAAAACGCGTGTAAATCGGTGAAATCGTTTATTTAAAAAATCAAATTAAATTTCTTTTTCAAGTTCAATTAGTATAAAATTCAGGAAAAATATTCAGTTAGGCTTCCGCTTTTCCAAATCCGAATTGCCGGGCCTTACGCTTGACCCCTGCCATCAGATTTTGTACAGCCACCTTGTCCACCTTCTTCGCCGCAGAAAGCCAGTTTGCCTTGAACTGCTGCTCGCCCTTAGCAGTTTTTTTGGTTTTCTTTAGGTTCCGCTTGACAATAGCCCAGTATTTCTCAATTGGGCGGAGCTCTGGCGTGTTGGGAGGGTTCTTGTCCTTGGGAACCACCTGCACGTTGTTGGCGGCGTACCACTCCATGGCCTTTTTACCGTAATGGCAAGATGCCAAATCCGGCCAAAACAGTACGGAACAACCGTGTTTCTTCAGGAAAGGCAGCAGACGTTTATTCAAACACTCTTTCACGTAAATTTCTTGGTTGACAGTCCAAGAAGCTATGAAAATGCTGCTTTTCAAGCCACAGGTACAGATGGCTTGCCAAACCAGATATTTCTTTGCGAACTTTGTCAGTTTCATGTGCTTGAAAACATCTGCTACCTTTCCCCTTCCTTTTGCCGTATAAAACTCCTGTCCCGGAAGCTGCTTGTAGTCGGCTTTGACGTAGGTTTCGTCGTCCATTACCACGCAGTCAAACTTCGTCAGCATCGTCGTGTACAGCCTCCGGGATCGCGCTTTGGCCGTCGTATTTTGTTTATCATCGCGATTTGGAGTCACTACCTTCTTGTAAGTCGATAGTCCGGCTCGTTTTTTGGCTCGATGCACGGTTGTAGACGATACACCCAGCTTATTTGCGGCATCTCGGAGAGAGAGGTTAGGGTTTCGCTTGAAACTACCGGCAACTCTCTTTGTCGTCTCAGCGGCTTCCGGTTTTCGATTTCCCCCCGATCCAGACTTCCTGGCTGTCGACAAACGTTCCCCAAACACTTTAATTACATTTGTAACGGTTGATTTGGCAACTTTTAGCGATTTTGCCAACTTTGCGTGCGAGTAGCTCGGATTTTCGCGATGCGCGAGCAAAATTTTGATATGCTGCTCTTCTTGCTTGGACGGCATTTTGACAACTGAAGAGTGAATTCCAAAATCAAAATAGGAGCAACATTCTACACACACACACCTTCAAAATGAGGGGTGTTCATGTTTTTTAAATGTAAAATTAAAAGAAATACGTCAAGTTGATATTGACCAAATTTTGACCGTATCACCCTTTAATGGCAAAAACCGAACAATATATCAGTACGGTCGAGGTCATTCCAGGTAACAAAGGCAAATGCGGGAGCACGCCAAGCGCAATTGCATCAGCAACAATAGAACAACGCATGTGCAAAAACTTAATCAATAAATTAAAATTATCGTGCAAGGGATATACAACTCATAAACTGCGATCACCGGTTGCCAATATCACAGCTAAATATTGAATACAAAATTTATGCGAAAACTAAATAATTTAATAACATTACGATACGCTAGACCTTACGGCTTCCCACACAGCACTTAGAACGCAATTACCAAGAAGTTTGATTTATATGATGCTTATCATTTAGCAAATATTTATTCGGTATAAAACAAACATTAAGTGTAATTTTTGGAAATTAATTTTGAATAATATAAATTGCATCTTCATTTTAGAATGTTAAATGTTATCCGATTCGAATAATGAATTTACGATTTGGGAATGACATTTATGATTCATTATTTTGAAAATGTTATTGAATCACGTAACTATTCGTCCTACCTTGGAAAAAGTTAATTATTCTTCGTTCTATAATGAAGCACCCTAATGTTCACGTGGCTTACGGATATTCTTCAAAGCATTCAATAGACCTATCTGCAATAGGCGGCTAGCCAACCTTCACCTACTATGAAATGCTCCCGGAACGTGCAGGTTTATTATTATTATTATTATGATACTCTTCTTCGAACGTCCCACTTCTTATTTTTTCAAAGAGGCGTACAATTTGGCAGCAGCTAGACAAGTTTGCCTTTCACGGTTCCACGTGGCGCGTTCGTTGAATGGCAAGCGGAAGAAATTGTGCGTCAGGTCAGCTTTTATTGCATCGTATATATCATTTCCCGGCTTTTTCCTGCACTGCTCCTTCATAGGACGACTGCCTGGTGAAAGCCGGATAAACGCCACTGCCTACTCGTGTAAGGCGACAGCAAATTTATTATTGTAATATTTTTTTCATGGAATACTTTTCAAGTAGCGTAGCAGAAATACTTTGTCCTGTCACAAGGTGGCTTTACATGTGCACATGAATACTTCTCATTACAACAGTAAAATTGGATTTGAATAAATTTCATATTTGTTGAATTTTGCTCGCTTCGCTCTGCCTAGGCCCTTGGCAGCAAGTCATCCGAATAAGTGTCATTGAAAGCAACAAGTGTTTCTCTCGTTGTATACACTCACAGCGAAAGTCTATGTCACACCACGCACCATCGGAAGTTAGTTCGAAAAGAATCGGGGAAACTGCGGGAGACAGTGATTTTGACAGACACATTCATGCATAAAGTGAGGTGTAATAATAATTACGTCTTCTGGGAATTACATTCAATTTGCGGGCTGGATTTGACAGATACTCTTAATACTTTTAATGCCTTTCGATCTACTTGCAGACTGCATGCATGTGACATCCGAAGAGGGTGAGTTTTTCTTCAAGAGGTCGGCTCCAGTTATTTCGACGCCAAAGCATGGTCGGTTGGTGGATGTTTTGAGTGCGGCACCGGTAATGGAAGTGTGTGGACTGTACTTGGTTACCGATCCGGATAAAGTTGTCGAGGTTGTTGTCAAGCATCTAGACGTCAACTGCGACACGGGTGGGCTGATGGCCTTCGTCGATGGCTGGGAACTGAATGGGATGTATTTCCCAACTGAGTACGATCACCCGAAAAATATGGATCAACGAATTGATGAATTTTGCAACGATCCCAAGGCATGGCCCTTCAGTTCAGTGCGGCGAGTGTTTCGGTCGAGTCAAAATGCTGCTTTGGTTCAGTACCGAATACCAATCAGTGGATCATTTTTGGTGTCGGTACGATATATACACAATCCGGATCGTAAGTAAAATGCAGGATCTACCGTAATTGATCGTCATATTTAATTTCATAATATTGTTACAGCATGCAATGTAATGGCTGAAGGCGTTGCTCCATTCTACACTTTGCGAAATCGTGGTCTTCATCGAAATTGCTCCGTAACGGCAGTTTTTCCAGCAGTCATGTCTGTTGTCGGTGTGGATGTCGGAGAACGGAAGAATGGTGTTAGTTATGACGTAAGTACAATCGGATTAGATATTTGAAAAAAGGTAGTTGAATTCATTCGTGATAGATTATAATTAGAGTAGCAATCATTCCGATAAGAATCATGTAGCATTTTTAAATTATGTGGCATTCACAATGGTACCCTATTTTTGCCAAAGAATGATTTGAACGATACTTTTAGTAGCAAGATGGTTTGAATTGTGATGGAAAGCACATAACATATGTGGAACTCGATCATCAAAAATCGACCCCACTTCAGTGATTTCAAAGGGTATAGAAGGACATCGATCTGTCAAATTGATTATACCAGCTGTAAAATGAGAAAGGGGATCAAGGGGCTTGTCAATTCTTTTGAATGATTCTACCGTGGTTTATAATTCTATGTGTTTCTAACACTCCTGAACTCATGTCTTAATATTTCCTTAACCATTTATGTGCTTTATTTATAATTATATAGCTAACTTTAACAAATTTATCACCTTGATTGACACAGCATTTTGTAAGCATACCGATAAATGAAATTGAGTGCTTATCGATACCTGCAATATCCAAGATTTCCCTATGTTTCTCAATTGCCGTCAAATGAAAATTTCCTCAAAAATCCCAACACAAATAACTACTCCAATTACTTTTCAACAAAAAACATAGTAAGGTTGATCCTTGTTGCTTGAAAAGGCAAAAGAAGAGCTGCACACAATCATAACAAACTTTTTTTTTGATCACTATGACTAAGGTCCCAGGATGTGACTCCTAGCTAGCTGTATCAAAGTTAAGCACTATTTACTAGCGAAAATAATCGTTAATATGCATCAACTCAATATTTCTCAATATACTCATACGTTGACTCACTAAAAGCACAGTTAACAATACTTCAACATACCACGGACATAATGATAGTTTTACACCTATTCAACGTAATCCTCAAATCTTCGAATTGTTTGCATTAAATTATATTCAATTGAAATAATTTCCGTCATGAATCCAAAGCAAACCAATAAGGCGAAGAAATAATGCAACTGTAATTAGGCAATATTACTGAATAACAACGCTCTTCATTGGCTTCTGACCGACTTATTAGCTAAAAATCCTGTAGAGCTAGTCGAAAAAAAGAATGCCCACACGTCAAACTCCGTCAAGCATTTAAACAGCGGACGAACACCATCTCATTACGCATCACCGTGACTATTGACAATTCGCCTCTTTGGTCACTCTGTAACTCTTCACTCCTATAGTAAAATTCCATAAGCAAACAACAGTCTGTGCGTAAAACTTGGTGAACATTTCCTTACCCTTTCACTCCTATGAAAATCCCATATGATTATGTCAATCTTTGCGTGAATAAAGGGTGGCTTGCTGGAGGAATGAATAGATGAGACAAAGTCCGCAAGATTTCATGCACAGATTGTCAGATGCTTATGGGATTTTACCAGGAGTAAAGAGTTGCAGAGTCACTGTCAACGCCAATGCTTACTTTCGTAAGGGCCAATCCTGCAAACGTAAACAAGTACTTTTTGTGTGAATTTCTCGAAAATGAAGACTCCTTCAAGAAAACCAACACCATGATTGTGTAGATAATGAGTCCTCCTATCCGATAAAATTAGTGGCTTACATGGATTAACTTTGACCTACGAGACATTTACGAAAAAAGCCATTATTTATGTTTTCGACATTGGTCTTTACGAATGCTCAGTGTCGTTATCATGGAAATTTTATTTTGACAGATCGATGTCCAACTATGCCAGTTATACCACTGACGCAAAACAAAAAATGGTTCAGATTTGAGTCAGCTTTTTGCATGAAGTTCCACATAGGTTATGTGTGGAAAGTGATGACACAACATCCCAATTCTTGAAGGGGGTTGGCCGTACCATCTCAGGTTGCAGTGTAACTTTGTGGATGTACGGGAAATGCAGGTAATGTCGGCCTAAGTGTCCCTAATTTGGGCCTATACATAAATACAGCAATCAACTAAATTTTCAATAGCAACCAAAAATATCCATTAGTAAAGTCCCAATAACGCGTTCATCTAGATAAAGTTGATAAATAGCAGACTTTTAGCGATGGGCCCAAATTAGGGACATGTAGGCCGACATTACCTACATTTCCCCTGTATCGTTTTTGCTCCACCAAGCTCGACTGATTTCAAATCAAGTTCTGATAATTCTCCTCATACTGCACTGGCCATGCTTGGCATGCACAGTTGTACACACCAACTGCTCATTTGGTAATAACTTTTCACTCAGATGTTGAAATTTATTTTTCTTTAAAGTAATTGATAGATTAGGCTCATAGTTTACTATAGACATGCAAAGATTAGGTAAAGCTTAACATTTGAATCAACACTAATCAATTTAATACTTAAATTCAGAGATGTGTAGTGAGCATTACTCACCTCATTTTTACAACGCAAAAACAAATACAGTTTACTACTAGCATTAAAATCTACTTTTTTTTTAAATATATATAACAAGCTTACACTCTATTCTATCTACTGCTTCAAAAAGAACTATGTTCCGTCAACTATGTGCAAAGTTATTAGCAAATGAGCAGTTTGTGACCAAAACTGTGTATGCCAAGCATGGCACTTGCCCTTTGAAGTTTATATGGGAATTACTAAGTGAACTTGTTCGCATCATTCTAGCGGAAAGTTTGCTATCTGTACTTATGATCCCGACTACAAGACCAACATAGGGCAACACATCTAGGCTACTATGTCATAAGTGCAAGATGCAGTGTTACCCAGAAACCAGTCGATTAACCACATCAGAAAGTTATTGGCTTCGAAACCATTTAAGGGGTTACGCCTACCTGCAAGACCGAAAAAAAGCGAAAGTTAGGATTTTTTTTTTCTCGAAAACGACGCAATATATTGAAAATCGGTTTTCTGCCGTTTATTGAACACACATTAAATGGTACATTTATCAGTCGATGCTGTAAAAACGAGGTTCTGGTGCCCCGCACGGCTGCTCCCCGTGGACGATGTTCTAAAAAACGCTTTTTGCGGTGCCAACTGCGGTTTGTGATGCAATCATCTGAAATAAAAAAAAAACCATGCCAAATCGTTAAGCATGCGTAACTAGTCCTTGATCGACGTTTTTTTTTTTTAATTTTTTTGACAAAATGGCGGCCTTGCAAAGTTGAAGTGCCGATTTTTGATCCTTAAAATTTGTCTTTGATCGGCTGTAAAAAATCGAAATTAAATGATAGACGAAATCCCAACGATCGTGGACTGCACAAAATAGTACTGAACAGAAATCAAAACGAATCGGACGAATCGAATGTATACATTTCGAGAAATTTGTGGCACCGGTTTTGAAAATATGATTCCGAGATAATCGCGTTTAAAGTTTCAAGTTGGGTTTAGTCCACTATAAGTGAATATTTTTGTACGTCGCATAACTTTCACAATTTTCATCGGATCAACTTGATCTTTTGAGGAAATATTCTTGACTTTATATACTTTCAATTAGGACAATAAAAAAATCGATTTTTTGAAAGTTTGCAGGTAGGCTTAACCCCTTAATAACTAATTACTTTGAAGTATAACCAAAAATTGAACGTCAGCTTGATTGTAGCTGATAAAATTTCACATAAGTACACAGAGCAAGCTTTTCCGTTAATCATTATGACGAAGGGCTAGGACGATGAGAACAAAATGTTCATTTTTCCCATACTAATTGCCATATAAACTTCAAATGGCCAGTATGAGTTCACGTCCAAATAAGCTCAAATTTTGAGAACATCTTTGCAAACTTGTTTTCCAACACTTTTTCAAGGCTGCGCACAGTGGTGCTAAGGATCAGTGCTGAGATTTGTGATTGTCATTGACAGACTTTCGCGCGATATTGACTAAATTGTTTTTCACATAATCACTGGCAGACTTGATCCTCAAAAAAACCTTCGTCAAAATCTCATTCATTACGAAGCTTCACCTGGTAACAAAAAGTGTAATTTCGTGCATTCTGTGTCACATTATTGTTTTCCAAGCAGTTCAGGATGTAAATGCTACTTTACTTTAACAGCTCCATGTAATTGTGTTGCTTAAGTGTTTAATTTCGTTACAAATTTATTTAATAAAAAAAATCTACACGTGTTCGTCACTGACAGCATTGTCGTTAACAATTGACATGGTTTGCCTTGACGATGATTGTTAGCTGAAATGAGTGACCAAAGCAGAATTGTCAATATCACCGTGTATTGTCGATATTTTGCAGCGCTGCCAAGGATATCAAAACACGCGTTTTTTAATAACTGAACTGGTTGATTAAAGGCTGACTAAAATTAAATTAGTGCGCACAAAAAGACCTGTAATTCGTGGTTCAATAAGTTTAAAAAGTTCATTAATGGTTGCTTTACAGCACTTTTATTAAAACTTCAAAGTTACAGCATTAGATGGTAACATTTCTACAGTTTGAACGAAATCTCAGACCTTCCTCTTGATGGAGCCCATCAGCGCCCGCACAGTGGAAACGGACAAGGATCAAGCGCATGTCTTCCATTTGCTGAATTTCCTTGACTGTCCCGTCGCTGTTTTAAAATTGCCCAGTATTTTTCGATTGTTCGAAATTCCGGTAATTCGGAGGATTCATAAGCTTGGGGACAAAATTGATCTTGTTGGCAGCATACCACTTCATAACCACCTTGGAGTAGTGACAGTAGTGAACGGCAATACACGCTTTTTCAGGCATTCTTCGATGTAAACTTGGGATGTCATCGTCGAGGATGTGACGAATGGTTATGTTTTCAGGCCACAACTGCAAATCGCTTGCCAAATCATGGCCTTTTTCGCGAACTTGTCGGCAAACTCAAACTTGAATCTTCCCGGCACATCCCCACGTCCAGTCGCGATGTAAAATTTGTGAACGGGAAGCTGCTTAAAATCGAGTTTGATGTATATTTCTTCACCGATCAAAGTGCAGCCCTTGTTTTTCGTCAAAACACGGTCGTACAAGAGACTTGCACGCTTTTCGGCCACGGAATTCTGCTTCATGTGCCGGTTGAATGTTTACTG